ATGCCGATATTGATGGCTTGTACAAAAGTGACTTGACATTTTTTAAATTAAGACTTGAGACTTGACTCGAAAGTGACTTTAGGGACTCGAGACTCGACTTGAGACTTGAACTGTAGTGACTTGAGACTCGACTTGGACTTGACAATGACGGCTTGAAGATAACACTGGTGTCTAGACTACACCTCTCTGCCAACAGAGAGATGTAGATTAGGCACAACAAAATTGCGAATGAAGTGGGAATTTAAATATCCCACGCTTCATTAGCATAAAAATGGCTGCCGCTTTTTTTCGGCATGGAGCTTTGTCGGAGAAAAGCGGCAGTTTAGAGACTGATCTTTCAAAAAATAAAGCCTTTTTCGAAAGATCCCTTATCCCTCGTGAAATGAGGTTTACAGGATCTTTCAAAAAAGGCTTTATTTTTCGAAAGATCCGCATCTAGACTGCCACTTTTCTCTGTCAAAGCTCCGTGCCAAAAAAAAAAGTGGTGGAAATCGTAGTCACATGCCACACATGATGGGAAAATCACAGAGGGTGGTCGGGAAACACCCGCCATCCGGAATGATTTCAGTTAGACAGATGGTCGCTGTTCATGGTGAACATCCCCTGCCTTGAAGAGGATTTTCCCTCCCTTGGAGCTCAACCCCACATGTGTCCTAAGGTTTTATGTCAGTAGTGCCGCTCCCTTTCCTCAGAGCAGCGTGGCCTAGCAGCCAGAGTCAATAGCACAGCTCCCTTTCCTCAGGGCAGTGTGGCCTAGCAGACAGAGTCAATAACACAGCTCCCTTTTCTCAGGGCAGCGTGGCCTAGCAGCCAGAGTCAATAGTACAATTCCCTTTCTTCAGGGCACTGTGGCCTAGCAGCCAGAGTCAATAGTACAATTCCCTTTCTTCAGGGCACTGTGGCCTAGCAGCCAGAGTCAATAGTACAATTCCCTTTCTTCAGGGCACTGTGGCCTAGCAGCCAGAGTCAATAGTACAATTCCCTTTCTTCAGGGCACTGTGGCCTAGCAGCCAGAGTCAATAGTACAATTCCCTTTCTTCAGGGCACTGTGGCCTAGCAGCCAGAGTCAATAGTACAATTCCCTTTCTTCAGGGCACTGTGGCCTAGCAGCCAGAGTCAATAGTACAATTCCCTTTCTTCAGGGCACTGTGGCCTAGCAGCCAGAGTCAATAGTACAATTCCCTTTCTTCAGGGCACTGTGGCCTAGCAGCCAGAGTCAATAGTACAATTCCCTTTCTTCAGGGCACTGTGGCCTAGCAGCCAGAGTCAATAGTACAATTCCCTTTCTTCAGGGCACTGTGGCCTAGCAGCCAGAGTCAATAGTACAATTCCCTTTCTTCAGGGCACTGTGGCCTAGCAGCCAGAGTCAATAGTACAATTCCCTTTCTTCAGGGCACTGTGGCCTAGCAGCCAGAGTCAATAGTACAATTCCCTTTCTTCAGGGCACTGTGGCCTAGCAGCCAGAGTCAATAGTACAATTCCCTTTCTTCAGGGCACTGTGGCCTAGCAGACAGAGTCAATAGTATCTCTCCCTTTTCTCAGGGCAGCGTGGCCTAGCAGCCAGAGTCAATAGTACAATTCCCTTTCTTCAGGGCACTGTGGCCTAGCAGACAGATTAAATATTATCTCTCTCTTTTCTCAGGGCAGCGTGGCCTAGCAGCCAGAGTCAGTAGTACAGCTCCCTTGCCCAGTAGGTTCCTGGGGGTGGGGGAAGCCGCAGGACTGCTGCAGGCTGAATCAACCCATTTCCTGGAGTGGATCCGGCCCGCAGATGCCCTTTTGCCCCTGTCCTAGGGTCAGATCAATGTTAGGTCTCCCTGTTTGGAAAGAAGACCAGGCAGGTACACAGTGGCAGATGACTATTCTGCGGGGCGCAGGGCAGCCCAATTTCACGGGGCCCCCCTTTGCCACGGCGCATGCACGGGGCTTCTTGAAGCATGGGGCCCGGGGCGGCCGCCCCACTCGCCCTGCCTTATATCCGCCCCTGCAGGTACACCCATGTAAGTGACAAAGGAGCAGGCAGACTCGCGACAGCAGTGATGGGGCCCGGCTGTCGCCCTCTTCTGGGATAACACACAATTGGATGCACTGCTGGGAGGGAAGAGGGCAGGAGCATCCCCTCAAAGTCAGGAGCCTGGGATCTGCCCTCTTTGAATCACACACAAATGCCTCTGGACTTTGCTATTGCGCTGGGGAAAGCAGCCAATCCCCTCTCCCTGCCTGCATGTACTGAAGCAAGCTCGCTTCGGCCGTGCCTGCAGCATCGTGCTCATTCCCCACTTCGGCATGACCGAGGCAATGCTTAATGGGGCACCGGGGCGGGCCAGGGGGAGAAGATGCTTCCCCAACCCATCCGATCTTCCTCCATCCACCACCCAGCACTTAGGTGAGGCCTTTGTTGTTAGGAGGAGAACAAAGTCCATTTTGTAGCCTTGGCAAAGACAAGCCAGGAGTGTTCCAGGGTGCAAGAACGTAACCACGGGTGTGAAACCTCTTTCGTGGCCTAATAAATGCCAGAACGAATGTCACAATGGGAGACACTGCCTCTCTACCCTGGCCTGGGATCTCCTGGCAGCGAGAGCTGGCCTTTCCCAAACCACTGCATTTTGATCACAATCTCTGGGGCTTTTCTAAAAGCGCCAGCTCCCGGAGTCAGGGGATTAGGTGAGACACTTGGCTTTTATTTGGGGGGGGGGAGCCAAGGTTGTAGCTGTGATGTTCATGGAGCAACACTTCAAAACGTGAAGGCTTGAACCTAGAGGCAGCTAAACAGACCCTCACATTGAATAGTAGTAGTATATACCTCGATAGCTTTTGTCACCTTACAATTTTGACAGGTGTATGTCCCACCCTATCTGCTTTTTTCTGCGTTTGGCATAAAACCCTTGTGATTTGGGGGGGAAGCATGAATAAAATAATCCACAAGATCCTTTGTGCTAGGGGTTTTTGCGCAAAAACAAGGAGTGTGGACATTTCCTTTTTGCACAAAAATAACCTTTTTCCACAAGATCCTTATGCCTCCAAAAAGGAGGTTTACCAATCTGGTGGGAAAAGGGGTTTGCGCAAAAAGAAAACATCCACACTGCTTTTTTTTGCGCAAAAACCCCTAGCACAAAAATGGATCAGCAGAAAATATGCAAATGAGGTTGCAACTCATGCAAATGAGTCCCTCATTAGCATATTTTCTGTGGCAAAAACTGGCAGTGTAGAGGTAGCCTGGGAGCCGCGCTCACCCCACCCCACTGGCAGGAGACTGTATTCTGCCCTACAGGGGTTTGGCTCAATGAGCCACTCAGTGAACCTCTTAATCTAGTATCCCATGATGCCTCTGTGTTACTTGAACTTGATTTTGTTTCCTTTGCGTGCACATAACTCTGGCAGGCAGAACCGAACCAGGGATTTTTGAGCCGGAATCTCTACAGCTTGAGCTAAAAGCCAGCTGCTTCCCAGCTCAGGTTGTAGACCAAACTCATTCTTTCTCTCCGTAAGTAGTCTCTGTGCCGCACCATGGGCCAATGCACCCCACCCTGTAGATGTGTGGGTTACATAGATACATGTGCACGAGTGTTTGGTACTTCTAGCTCAGCGTCATTTCAAAGAAGGTCCCCGTGGCTAAACAGAGAAATTAACCCTGCGCCGTGGAACCTCTACCGGGCAGGCTGAAAATCCCTTTCGGTCGCACACTCTGAAGGGCTACAATGCAGCCATTGTTTGCTAAGAACGTGGGCGTTCCCAGGGAAAATTCTGAATGGAGCAGCAGAGGAGACTTTGTTCTGCTTGACGTAGTAATTCTTCACCGCCATGATCCACCTTTCGAGTGCCAGTCAATGTGGTGGGTGCACGCACACGTGTTAGCCCGGCAAGGGTACCCTCCTTCGTTTGGGGGAAAAGCCGGTTAGGCCTTGCCTGATGTGGACCCTCCTCTTTCCAAATGCTCCCTCTGCTTGTCCTGCCTGCTGTAACCACTGCTTTCAAATACAACCAGAATGTTGGCAAACCCATCACGCCATCGGAGGAAACCACAAGGAAAACGTTCCCAGAGCTGGGTATTCTGATGTAACAGGCCTGAGGTTAGCATTCCAGTGTGGCATTTCCAGCCCCGGATCGAAATCAGAGCTGTCATTCTGAGCCCAATGTTGCTAATGTTACTGAAACTTGGGGAAAGGGGGGGGCAGGGAGGGGAGAAAGATGCTGACTTGGTTGGTTTCTTCGAAGACGAAAGGATGGTCTGCCGTGTCGGTAGACAGGTTGAATGCTGCGGCAGCTGGTACTCAAACCTCCAGCTGACGCGTTCCTTCTTTGGGAGCGTGGAGCTAAGCCCCCAGCTGTTTAAAGGGCGACTCCATGACCTAGAAAGATCTTTGAAGCTGTGACATGAAAATCAGAGGTGAAAAAGAGCTCGTCGGTACCTAGCTCGTACCCCTAATGCAAGGCGGAGCTCTAGCGATCCAGGCAAGGAGGCAGTTCGGATGAGACTTCGCCAATCAAAGCCTAAACGATCGTCAGGCACCTCTGGGAGAACGGTAGCATCTCTGGGTTACATTTCTCCTCCCCGCCTCTTGGTGCGCTCCACCCCCGAGCTGGCTGCACATCCATGGGCTAACCCGTCCATGCCACTATTGTGATAAAAAGAGTGGGAGCTTTGCTTGAAGCAGAGTTCATGACGGATGTCAGGGTTTGACCAACGTGCTTTGGGATCGTTGAGGGTGAAAGGCGCTGTGTAAATCCAATAGGACACACCTCCATGCAAGCCGTGACAGATGCACCTACCACATTCAGGGTGGCCCTAGTTCACTAGGAAATAGGCATAGTCCTTTGCTTGCTCTCCATGTACCCAGACCGCCTGATACCGCTTCCCACGGCTTTGTTGACCTTTGTGTTCCTGTTCTCGGCAGATACGGCCGCCTGACTCTTTATGCTGCTAGCACTGCTGGGTGACACTAACGCAGAATTCATTCTCATTTGGCGCTGTGTTTTCCCCCCCATGCTTTGTGCTGCAGGAAGTCTTTGATCGCCTCTATTTGATCTATACGGTTGGCTACTCCATCTCGCTGGGATCCCTGACCGTTGCTGTCCTTATCCTGGGGTACTTCAGGTAGGTGGCTCTGGTTTTTGCCTTTCGTGGGAGGGAGGGATTAAATTGCGCCAGCCCCCTGGGGCGGACTGGGAGACACTTTGGATTTCCTCAGTCTCGCAGCTCCTCCTTTTTGTGGCTGCATTTCATCTGCAAGGCCCAGGGGTCGTTTTCATAGCTGTGGGTTGGGATTGCGGGTGGTGCCATTCGGATCCACTGCTTGGGGCAGGGACGCCGACAGCCTCCGCGGGACCCAGGGCAAGATGTGTTTGTGGGGACTTGGCGCTGTGATCCTGGAAGGGGCAGGGCCTTGTGTGGGAGGGGTAGGGCCTAAGGCAGGAGAGGCGGGGCTTTGGGTGAAAGAGGCGGGGCTGGAGGTCACCAAGTCCAGCCCCCTGCCCAAGGCAGGACCAGTCCCAACTAAATCAACCCAGCCAGGGCTTTGTCAAGCCGAGACTTAAACACCTCTAGGGATGGAGACTCCACTACTTCTCTAGGTAACCCATTCCAGTGCTTCATCACTCTCCTAGTGAAATCGTTTTTCCTAATATCCAACCTGGATCTCCCCCACCACAACTTGAGACCATTGCTCCTTGTTCTGCCATGTGTCACTACTGAGAACAGCCTCTCTCCATCCTCTTTGGAACCCCCTTTCAGGGAGTTGAAGGCTGCTCTCAAATCCCCCCTCACTCTTCTTTTCAGCAGACTAAATAGACCCAACTCCCTCAGCCTCTCCTCGTAGGTCGTGTGCTCCAGCCCCCTAATCATTTTGGTCACCCTCCACTGGACCCTCTCCAATGCGTCCATATCCTTTCTGTAGTGGGAGGCCCAGAACTGGACACAATACTCCAGATGTGGCCTCACAAGAGCCGATTAAAGGGGAATAATCACTTCTCTAGATCTGCTGGCGATGCTCTTCCTAATGCACCCTAGAATGCCATTAGCCTTCTTGGCTACAAGGGCGCCCTGTTGACTCCTATCCAGCTTCTCATCCACTGTCATTCCCAGGTCCTTTTCTGCAGAACTGCTACTTCGCCAGTTGGTCCCCAGCCTGTAACAATGCTTGGGGATTCTTCCATCCCTCATGCAGGATTCTGCACTTGTCCTTGTTGAACCTCATCAGATTTCTTGTGGCCCAACCTTCTTGTTAGAAGATTGAATGCTGTAAATTTGGCCCCATGAAAGGAAATTTTGATGATGCACCGGTCTGGCGCTCTCTCCTTCCGCGGATCATTGATAGAGAGTAGTTGTGCTCAGAGAAGTGACAGGAAAGAAAAAACAGCTTCCACTCGCTTAGGAGAAGTGTCCTCTCTCGTCACCCAGAGTTAGGCTGACTTGCTACAGGGAGCCAGAATATGGGTTTTTAAAAATATATTCTTTACTGGAGCTGGTCAAAATGTTTTGGTCAAAGCAAGTTTTCTGCAGGAAGATGCCGTTTTGACACAACTCCGTTGCATTGCTTTTGACACTTCAGTTCGGGGGGGGCGGGTAACCAATTGAACTAGGGTTGCCAGATAGTTGCACAAAAAATACCGAACATGGCGGGAAAAAATATGTTGAGCCACACACAAAAAACCTGCCAAAAAAAAAAGAGTCACTGTGCCTTTAAATCCCCATTTTCCCTGTGCCCTCACCAGACGTAGCAGGGGAAGAACGTCTCAAGCGGCCTTCCATCCGAGAAAAAAAGAAAATACCAGACATTTTACATGTCCTGGATTTTCTGGGGGGTTTTTACCGGACAGAAACTGCAAATACCGGACTATCTGGGCCAATACCGGACTACCTGGCAACCCTCATTTGAACACACCAGGCCTCCCATTATGACCCGTTCAGCACTGATAATGGAGAGGAGGTATTTGGATGGATTTGAGAATGCAGGGATGGTACTTGATCCTGCTGTGAGGCAGGGGACTGGACTCAATGACCTTTCAAGGTCCCTTCCAGTTCTAGGAGATAGGTATATCTCCATATATTATATTACTACTATTATCCCTGGGGGTGTGGAAATGTATACTCCCTTTGGCCCTCAAATTGGTGGTTTCCAATCATTTCAAAAGAGCAAAAATAAAATTGATGATTTTCCCACCTTCGCCTCCCCCGCCCCCCCAAAGTTCATTTAGCTATTTTTGGCGGGAGGGGGAGGAGGGAGCCTTTTCACAGGCCAGCAAATCCATTTCCCAACCAGCTTTTCTACTGATTTCTCTTTGCCCGACCCAAGCGGGATCTGGATTCTATTCTGGCTTCTGTAGCATCAGGAGACTCATTAATTACATTTCAATGGCAGGAAGAAATCCTTCTCTGCCACACTCCCGTGCCTCTCCATTTCACACTCTTTGTGTTGCAGTGGGCCTAGAGGCTTTTGACAGAGCAGAATAGCAAGGAATAACAAATTCTCTGCAGACCCCTTTCCCCCTTAAAACCTATAATGTCATCAGCTGGGGATTTCAAAGGATATAAACTCACAAGCTCTCTCAGCGCGAGCTAAACAATAGCACATCTTACACTGCTGAGAAGTCTCCAAGCCCTTTACGGTCTATATTCAGGGAACAAACACACCACCTGCCACAGCAATGCAGCCACCTCTGGGGTGGAGCTCAGCCGCTGGCTAGCAGTGCCCAGCAACACTACACTGCAGGCAGTGGAATATTCTATCTCGTTGAGGCTGAAGAGGGAATGTAGTCAAATAGGATCTAAGTATTAACATCCTTGTGCTGGAACTGACCACGGGCTCTTGGACCGTAATTGGACATCTCCTCTGCATGGTGTGATGTCTCAGGAACTTGTTAACCCGTGCCCCATACTTAATTCTCACCAGGGCACCCTATCCCACCTGACTGCAAAGTTGGTGGCTTCTGTGGCTATTTCAATCTTCAGCCAGTCCCCGGGAGAGCTGGGATGGCCAGGCATGAATTTGCATTGGAGTGGGACTGCGCCGGGTCCCTGCAGGGACACGGCCTGCCAGAGAGGAGGTGGGTGGCTGGGGTAGCACAGATGAGCCACTGTACACCCTTCCGGTCCTATGTCTTAACCCTCCCCTTCCAGGCGTTTGCACTGCACAAGGAACTACATCCACATGCACCTGTTTGTCTCCTTCATGCTGAGAGCGGTCAGCATCTTTGTGAAGGACGCGGTCCTGTACTCCGGGTCGGCGCTGGAGGAGATGGAGCGGCTGTCTGAAGAAGACCTGAAGTCCATTACCGAGGCCCCCCCGGCGGATAAGTCCCAGTTTGTGAGTATTGCTGTAGGGCCGGTTACTTCTAACCTCTCCCCTCGGGTATGACTCTCCCTGGGAACGGTGGTGAGCTGGAGGCTGACTCACTTCCTGCCTCTCCTCCATGGGAAACCAAGATATCTGACTGCTCTTTCCCAGCTAGCAAACCACAACATCTTCCACAGCCCCTCCCCCTATTAGCTGGCTTGACCCAGGAGAACCTTTCGACCTGTCTGACCAATGAAAGTTCTTCACTCATCCCAGGGGATGTAACATAAGAACGAGGGATCACCAGATGCAATGAATAGGTAGCAGGTTGAAAACAAACAAAAGGAAGTTTTCCTTCAAGCAGCGCACACTCAACCTGTGGAACTCCTTGCCACATGATGTTGTGAAGGCCAGGACTTCTACAGGCTTCAAAAAAGAACTAGATAAATTCATGGAAGATAGGTCCATCTATTCTTATTAGCCAGGATGGGTAGGAATGGCATTCCTAGCTTCTGTTTGTCAGGAGCTGGAAACGAGTGACAGGAGAGAGATCATGTGATGATTCCGTTTGGTTCGCTCCCTCTGGGGCACTTGGCATTGGCCACTGTCAGCAGATAGGATACTGGGCTAGATGGACCTTTGATCTGACCCAGTCTGGCTGTTTTTATGTTCTTATGACACCAGCGCTAGGATTTGGGGCCGTTCCCAGCACCATTATGTGGAAAGACAGGCACCTCCTCTTTATAGCAAGCTCAGGGCCCCGTTGGGTACGTTTACACAGCCCACAGAAGTGAGCCTGCCAGTCTAGATTGACAGATGTGAACTTGCGGAGCTCATGCTACTGAGCCGTAGAGATGTCGCTGGTACTTGGAGGTCTGGCGCCTCAAGACGGGGTGGATTTCAGTGGCCACGTTTCAGCCCGATCCCCAATCCAAAAGTGGGCAGCTATTTTAGCCTGGCTGTGCAGGCCCAAGTCTGCCGCCCCAGCTTCAAAGACTCAGTGCCACGGGCTGTGTACACATACCCTTCCTGGCTGCGGAGACACGCCCTTCTTGAACGATTTCCATGCCTCCATTCCACCAGACATGTCAGCACGTCGGCTTCCCGGCGTGTCGCTCTCCCACCACAGTGCCTCGTTAAATGATTTTCAACTCGGCAGCTCCTCTCCGTACAAACCACAACAGCCCTCTCTCCGCGACTGTTTCTAGGCCATCTGACGCTCCGGCCTAATGCAAGAGACTTGAGATTTTGTGTCTGGAAAGGCCTTCCAATCTGTGATCCAGCTCTCCAGCCCCGAGCGAGGATGAAAATTTTTAGATCATTAAACGGATCACTTCATTGCCACTTGTGTTACGTTTCCTCTTCCCGTTACAACAGCGCACCCCTGGCTGTGTGGGCGATTGACTCTTGACAAAGGCCAGGAGAGGGACCGGTCACTATTAGAAAAATAGATTCCAATGTCACCTCTACATGTTGATTTTCATCGGAATTGGCTGTTCCCTTTGTGGCTTGTTCCTGTTTGTTATTTATGTGTTCTTGGCAAACTCCACAATGTGCTAAGGCGGGGCGGGCAATAAGATGGCGGTAGTTTGCCAGGTGGGCCACTACTGCTATATTGACCTGCGTCTCCATGGATATGGGAGATCGCAGCTCCTATTGGCCAGGAACAGTGCTCCGCGGCCAATGGGAGCTGCAATCACCGTAGCAACGGAAGTGCAGGCAAATACAGTGGCAGTGGACCACCAGGAGCTAACCCTGGTGAACCGGATCCAGCTGATATTTTCCCACTGCTGTGCTAAGGAATTGTCCCTGTCCTGGAGGTTTGGTTATCTGAGGCTAGGTCGAGACTACAGTTCTTTGTTGGAAAAAGCTACGCAAATTGGCGCAGTTTTTTCTGATCGCATTTCCGGAAGAGGCTTTTCCGCCATTTGGCCCCGTCTAGACAGGGCCAAATGGTGGAAAAGCGTCCTTTTTCGGAGGAGCCCTTATTCCTTGTAGAATGAGGTATACGGGGCTCCCCGAAAGAGCGTGTTTGCTCTTCCGCCAAAAAAAGCAGAAGAGCAAACACATTCTCTGGACACGGGGAATTTTTCTGGGCTACCGGAGGTATTCCGGAAAAACACGCCAGTCTAGACGTACCCTGAAATAGATCTTCTTTCCGTGGAAGCTGTGCCAATTAATACTAGCTTAAGGCCTGAAATGGCAAATTGGGTTCTTCCTAGGGCGACATGTCTTTGTAAGTGGTCTCCGTGCCACTAGTGAGACAGTCCACCCCACCCAGCAGACGTGTGGGTTCCACACGCTTCAATCGGCGCAAAGAAAAACATGCCACGTTTGCAAAGAATCCATCTCCTTTGCTGCATTCGTGGAGCAATTTTGTGCACTGGATAACTGGGAGGAGATGGTTTCTATGTAATGAACTGCAGAGGTGAACGGTAAATACTGCAGTGCACATCTCAGGACCTCTGTCCTCTAGCAAGTGTGTTGCAGCCCAATGTGCGGGCACCGGCTTCTCTTCTCACCCATGTTCTCCTGAACAGTCAGGAGCCGAGCCCCAAGTCAGAGTCTGCCATGACACTAAGACAAATCCATAGTCACTCCAGTGGGGCCAGATGCAACTGCTTAGGACAACCCAACAGGACTATACCCCTCCGTGTCACATACCCCTTGGCTCTTCCGGAGCGATTCCATCTTATGCCTGATGGCATGAGCTGACTTCCGTCCTACAGCAAACCTTACGGGCCATCTCTTCAGCTGGTGGAAATGAACATCGCTCCCCTCAGGTTCATGGAGTTCCACCAACTGAGGATCAAGCTCTACGCGATGTTCCTCTTTCTCATGGCTTTTATGAGAAGAGTCTCAACGTGCCCTGACGCGCTTCCGGGCTACCCTGATGAGGGATGGGAGGAGAAACTGAGGCAAAAAGGGAGGTTATGGGTCGAGAACCCTCGGTTCCCGTAAGGGCCCAAGCTGCTGCCCTCCCTAGAACGAAGTTGGCTAACTTGCACAGCTGCCGTTTTCTTCTCCAGCTGGTTTTTGAGCTCTCGCGAGCCTGTGACTATGCCGGCTTCGGGTTCACACCACGTTTTTAACCTCCCTTTCTCCCTCTGTGGTCATGGCAGGTGGGCTGTAAGGTAGCTGTCACCTTCTTCCTCTACTTCCTGGCGACCAATTACTACTGGATCCTGGTGGAAGGGCTCTATCTCCATAGCCTCATCTTCATGGCCTTCTTCTCCGAGAAGAAGTACCTTTGGGGCTTCACGCTCTTTGGCTGGGGTGAGTCGCCGCTGTGCCTGGGGCTTTCTAAACCGACGGTTGGGGGGCGGGGACCGTGTGGGTTTTTGAGCAGGCCAAAGAAGGGATGAAGACAAAGTTCATGGGCTGGGTGGTGTTGCTTGAGGCATCGCCCTGGAAGACCTTTATCATCTGTCCTTGTCCGCAAACCATCTCCCGCCATACTTAGGAAGCTTCATCAGGACACAAAACAGCCATGGAGCTGCAGGTGGATTGATATAGTGAATTGTGAGGGCAGGTGGATGGATATAGTAGCTGATCCACCAATCCCCCCCGACGTCCCATCCCTTGAATCCCCGTTGTGTAGCAAAGCACGAGGAACCATCCTAACCTGGGATTGGCAGCATAAAAGGTTGTACTCCCCCTACATGGGTCCCCAAAATCCGACCCAACCCTCTCACAAGCAAGGCCTCCAGACTCCGAAATCCGACCCTTCCCTCTCACAAGCAAGGCCTCCAGACCCCGAAATCTGACCCTTCCCTCTCACAAGCAAGGTCTTCAGACCCCAAAATCCGACCCTTCCCTCTCACAAGCAAGGCCTCCAGACCCCGAAATCCGACCCTATAATATATTCTCCCAGTTCTTCTTCACACAGCGTGTAGTCAATCTGTGGAACTCCTTGCCAGAGGAGGCTGTGAAGGCTAGGACTATAATAGAGTTTAAAGAGAAGCTAGATAATTTCAGGGAGGTTAGGTCCATAAAAGGCTATTAGCCAGGGGATAAAATGGTGTCCTTGGCCTCTGTTTGTCAGAGGCTGGAGAGGGATGGCAGGAGACAAATCGCTTGATCATTGTCTTCGGTCCATCCTCTCTGGGGCACCTGGTGCTGGCCACTGTCGTCAGACAGGATACTGAGCTAGATGGACCTTTGGTCTGACCCAGTATGGCCGTTCTTATGTTCTTATGACCTTTCCCTCTCACAGGCAGGGCCTCGGGGTACCCAGAATCCAACCCTTCCCTCTCACGGGCAGGGCCTCTGGGTCCCTGAAATCCGGCCCTCCCCTCTCACTGGAATGACACCTATTTACACCAGCTGGGCCAGGGCCCCCTAAGCCCGTCAGCATCTGGGGAAAAGGACTGTAGGAATGGACAGTGCCCCGACAGCTTGGGAGTTTGGTTCCAAGGGGAGACCTACGCTCCGATTTCCTTCCTCTGGTCTCAGACGCTCCTGCCACCGGATTTCTCGAGCGTCCGAGCATGCAAATGGAAACCTGCAATTTGTGGGGAAGCAAATTTTTTTTGTAGGCCTGGATATTTTCTTGGCGCGGGGAGGAAGGGGAGAGGTGGGGGCGAGCCCTTAGTGGAGGGCTGTTCACATGCCAGCCTCACAGAAGAGAACGTTGCTTTCATTTCCCTCTGGCACCGCCGCTAGCTTGGCGCAACAGTCCCAGGGCGAAGGAGGAGTGGATCGCTTGTGTGCAGGGCTATAATTTCCTACAAGTGTTGGGGGGGGGTCGCCAAGGGAGAGGAGGAAATGGTTACGCTGGTGCTCAGGGGTATGACCAGATATAATGGGGGGCAGTAAATGTGCTCAAGCAAAGGAGCAGAGATCTCATTATTAAAAAACGTGCTGGACAAAGCCTGGGAGAATATATTATAGGCCACAGCCTTCCCTGGGTTCTGGATGTACCTGGTCATTTCCACCTATGGGTGCTATACGGCTGCATCTAGACTGGCATGATTTTCCGGAAATGCTTTTAACGGGAAAGTTTTCCGTTAAAAGCATTTTCAGAACAGAGCGTCTAGATTGGCACGGACGCTTTTCCGGAAAAGCACTTTTTGCGGAAAAGCGTCTGTGGCCAATCTAGACGTGCTTTTCCGCAAAAAAGCCCCAATCGCCATTTTCGCAATCGGGGCTTTTTTGCGGAAAACAAATCTGAGCTGTCTACACTGGCCCTCTTGCGCAAAAGCTTTGCGCAAAAGGGACTTTTGCATGAACGGGAACAGCATAGTATTTCCGCAAGAAGCACTGATTTCAGACAGTAGGAAGTCAGTGCTTTTGCAGAAATTCAAGCGGCCAGTGTAGACAGCTGGCAAGTTTTTCCGGAAAAGTGGCTGATTTTCCGGAAAAACGGGCCAGTCTAGACACAGCCTACCAGTGGGTCCCCCATTAGCCAACTGAGAGTCACCGTTCCAGTGTGACGCATGTCAGGCCTGCTCCGTGGGGCTCTCTGTCCCCCTCTAGTGGTGGCTCAGCCACATAGCGGTCGTCGAGCCTGCTACCGTTTTGCTACCGAGATCTTGGCCTTGGAGCTCAGGCAGAGCGGTTTGCACCTTAAGATACATGGGACCCTAATGCCACCCCAAGGTGCTTCCATCCCAAAGGCTATGAAAGCTTCGCTAAAGGGGTTGACAGCATAACTGAGTCCTAGGCAATGTGAGGAGAGGGGGAAGTGACTCTGTGCTCCAGGAAGGGGCGGGGCCTCAGGTGGAAGGGGTGGAGCCGGGTGCGGGAAGACACACCTGTGCAGACTCAGACTGTACAGCACCTCGGCCCCCCACCCCAGAACTGGCCAGAGCATGTGGTATTTAGAAATGCCAGGTTCCCTTTGTCCTCCCTCAACTCCCACCCCTGTAGAGAGGCCTGAAGTCTAGCTGTGCTTAGTGAAAACTGGAGAAATGATGCATTGGCCAAACAGCTTCTGTAGGACAATTCATCTTCCGACTGCTAGAAGCCAGAGACTCCTTAGGGCTCACGTTTTTAAAAACTCTTCAAAGTCCTGGAAGGACAAGTGATCTTTACTGACTGAATCTCGTGTCTCTTTGTACCTGAAGGTACGTCTAGACTGCAGAGTATTTCTGGGATACTGGCAGTCTCCCAGAAAATCACTGCCACATCCAAGGAACGCGTCTGCTTTTCGGAAAAAAATTCGGAAAAGCAGATATGTTTTTTCGGCATCCCTGGAAACATCGTTCTACAAGGAAGAAGGGATGTTCTGAAAGAGGTTTTTTTCCCAACCATTGGCCCAGTGTAGATGGGCCAATTGTCAGAAAAGCCTCTTTCAGAAGAAAAGCAGAAAAGGTACTCAAATTGCAAACTGCAATTTGCGTATCTTTTTCCGATAGAACTTTGTTGTCTAGACACAGCTTGAGAGAATGATGTAACCCACACCCTAGGGCAGTGGTCCCCAACACGGCACCCGGCAGGCGAACGGCCACGCCCCCTGGCGCCCGGCAACCTCCAAAGGTTGGGGACCACTGCCCTAGGGTACATCTAGACTACAGGGGGGGTTTCGAAAGGAGATATGCAAATGTGATGCTAATTTGCATATCTTCTTCCGATTGCTTTTTCGAAAGTGGGTTTTTCTAAAGTAAAAATAGTCTGGATGCATTTTTTTAAAAAAAAAAACCCTTTTTCGAAAAAAACGCTTTTCCTAAAAAAAAGGCGGTTTGCGTGTTTTTTTGAAAAACAGGTTTTTTTCCCCCAAAAAATTCATCCGGAATAATTTCATTTTTGAAAAACCCGCTTTTGAAAAAGCGATAGGAAGAAGATACTAGGAAAAAATATTTCCCTAGGAGGGTGGGGAAGCACTGGGATGGGTTCCCTAGGGAAGTAGTGGAGTCTCCATCCCTAGAGGTTTTGAAGTCTCGGCTTGACAAAGTCCTGGCTGGGGTGGTTTAGTTGGGATTGGTCCTGCTTTGGGCAGGGGGCTGGACTTGATGACCTCCTGAGGGCTCTTCCAGCTCTAGGATTCTAAGATATGCAAATTAGCACCAAATTTGCATATCTCCTTTCGAAAAAAACCCGTAGTTTAGCTGTGCCCCTAGTGTCCCATATAGTGGCACATTGACCACGTACAGCAAGAGAGAAGAACAAGGGAGCTCTATAGCCTAAGCTAAAAGCCACCCCCCTTTATAGCTCAAGTTCAAATTCACCCACCGGTGGTTACAATTGTATTGAATTGATTCTGCTGCTCCTTATTAAAATGAAAGGATTGGTGCAGAACAGAGCTAAGAAAATGATTTCCTAGGGCAAATCCAAGGTGGAGGGGTGATTCAGGAGAAATAACACCATGCATTTAGCAACACTGCGAAAGTTGCCAAGGGAAAATAGTCAGGCTGGCACTGGATCCCTTCATTAACACTTCCAGTTGTTGCCAAAGTATAATCAACTTACTGAGCAGCCCACAATGCTAAAGCCACACCTGTCACAACACCAATTAGCCATGTGACTCCAAACATTTGTGGCTGTTTAATTAAATTCCTCTGGAATGAGTACGCATGATTTCCTCCAGTGGCATTTGGTTTTGCTTTATTTGGATTAGCATGATCAAAAATACATATATACAGACACACATGGCATTGATAACTTTTGGGCATTCACAAAGGGGCCCGAGTCCAGTGCCCACTGAAGTCAAGGGAGAGACGTCAATTCATTGCGGTGGGCATTGGATCATGCCCATACCACAGTGAAGAAGAACCCGTAATAAATAATTCTGATGTTCGCGTAGGTACAAAAGGGAAAAGTTTGCTCCGAGATCTGAGATCCTTTGCTTACATAACAACAAACATCTGAGGATTTGCAATGCCCTGGTGATTCCTAAGAAAATCCAAAGCATTCATCATAAATCAATTTATGCTGAAGGAACCAAAACACCAATTTGCTTTCTGATGTTACATCCAATGATTTATCTGGATGAGACTTTTCAGTTCAGAGCTTCAGCTGGCGTAAGTCCTTCTCAATCATGGACCCGAGTGAATCGTTTGGTTTTCCAGTTCACTGGCAGTTTCAAAAAGTTGAGTAAAAAAATTGTGTTGGATTGAACTAAAAAAGAGATTTTAAAAAAATATTTCAGTAGATCAAAAGGTTGGGACAAAATTCATTTTGGGATTGCCCCGAATGTTTCATTCAGCCTAAAACAAAAATGTTTTCTTTTGAGTTTAAGCTTTCTTTTTATTAATTTTTTTTTTGTGGGGGGTACTGTTTTAAAAGTAAACAGGAGAAAATTTCAAACATGAATAGCTGTGTCAAAGAAAAAACAT